CTTCCGCTCACAACATGGCGCCTAAGCGATACCTGTCTCTCAGAGCGAGGCTGGCCTGGGCCGCCACCGCCGCGCGCATCCAGGGGCGGGATTATCGGAAGACACGCCCCGAACCGCCTAGCTCCGCCCCGCCCTTTTCTCACCCCCCCTTCTTCGCCCGGGGCTTCTGGGCGAGCTCAAAAGATCTGGGGGCGTCGGCGGGAGGCGGGGGAAAGACAAGGGAAGGGCGAGAGAGACGAAAGGATGGGCGTCTTTAACTGCCAAGAGGCCAAGCAGGTCGGAAGCTCCTTGGAAATGAGCGCGAAACTGCGGTCCTTTCCAATCTAGGCTCTGCGAGCGCAGTCCTGGGCCAATGACCCGGTGAAGAGGCGTGAAATGTCTTTTCCGCCTTGCTCCGCCAGGGGTGCGAGGGCGCCTAGTCTGTAAGCACAACTACTAGTGACCCAGGACCTTCCTACTCCAGGATCACACGCAGGGCATTCACCTGCCCCTACCCCCTTTTGAACGGGGATTCGGAGGCTTCGAGCCTAGGAGCCCCGTGAGGGTGGGTGATTTAAGTCCCTCCAAGTTGACCCTCTTGTGCTACATTTTTGATAGTAGTAGCTGGGATTCATTTGTCCTCCCGGAGTGGCTCCCTCTTCCCGCTCTAATATTCCTCCCTAAATTCATAGAGTCCTAGAGCTTCACCCCGGACTTGTACCCCCGCACCCCGCAAGTCTTCGAGAAAGAGGAAACGGAGGTTTCTTAAGGTTGTCTTTTTCCACAGAGATGACGAGTTATTAAAAATACTGTATCTTGTAGGCAGGAGCGCGAGGTTCTTGCTCTTCTGTTGACTTTAAAAGATTCGATTTTTCAAAATCAGGCTGGCTGTGGGCGGAGGAGGAGAAAGGGAGGGGAGGGGTTCTAACCCCTCCTCCTGCCCAAGATGGGGAAGCCCTGGGTTGAGGAGACCCAATCCTTAGAAAGCGATTCAACCTCGGGGGATTTGGGGGGAAGAGGCCCGAACGCCCCCAAGTGAGTCTCAGGAGGGTTTCACCCCCTAGTTCACCAAGCCAGGTGCTATGGCGCGCTGATTGCGCGCGGCCGAAAAGTGTAAAAGTCCCCAGGCTGGAGTGGAAAGCTACTGCAGCCCCTGGCTAACCGCCCTGCAAAGGGAAGGAAAAAAAGCAAAGGGAAATCTCCTGGCCGGCCTGTCCTTTCAGTCCCTCGGGCCTCAAGGCATCCTGATCCTCCCACGCCTGGCGACCACAGCGCGTCTTCCCCGCTGTGCTCCCCACACACGCCTTTTAACAGCTTCCTTTCATCATCGCAGGACCCAGACACCTAGAAAGCCCTAGCCTTCCTCCCTAACGCCAAGTATGAAAATGAGATTAGAGACCCACAACCAGCCGACCAAGTCTGTGCGGGTGGAGCAAAGTTTTCTCGCTGGGACCTGCTAGCTGCAGGTGTTGGGCTTTTCTGTCTGCCTAGTCAGCGCGCCCCTTGACCCAGGCTCCAGGCTAGGTAGCCACGTAGCCTTCTCAGGAAGCTCTAACTTGTTTAGGGAGCCTGACAGAAGGCAAGCGGAAATACTCGCTGCGTGCTGTCTCTCTCAGCCTTGGACTCCGGGACTTCTCCAGTCGGCCACATCTAAGCAGGCTTAGCGTGGTTTAGGGAAGGGGAGCAGATGGATCTACTTGGCTCATGCTCTTGTCACTTCCCGCATCATATTTGATTCAGGTGCTACAAATCCAGCCTGTGCCCGAAATCAGCTAATTTGGCAGCTTCTTTGTGTAATTCTCTACTATGAAACATGCTCGTAGACGTTTGAAATAAGGAGTTTTGTATTATTTTTCATTTAAGCACATCATGTTTAATATTTCTTGCGTTTACATTGCCAAGCCACATTACCACTCCTTATAGCAAAAATAACTTCATCAATTTGGTTGGTTTAAGGTAAATTAGCTCCCTAGTGATCAATTATTCCCAGTTAGCATCTTGCTTTAGTAAAAGCATATGTAGTTGAAGACAGTTATGTGCCTAACATTCTCCAGCTCTAATTATTTCATGCCCAGCACGAAATAATCTTTTTTACAATAAAGTAAATTGTTTCACATTTTCAGTATCAACTTTTACTCATTTCTGTTTATCTTGAAAACCAAGAGGAATGACTTGTAAAGCAAAGTTAATTGATTTGTGCAAGTATTGTGGACACTGGTGACATTGTAGAAATCAAGCATTAAATGGACTTTTAATGGGTTAAAATAGAACTACCACAGATGATTTGCACATAGAATCAATTCAAAAATATCTGTGAATTGGTTTAGAATAACACTATTCTCCTTCCTCTTGCACCCAAGGAGATGTTTTTTGTTAACAAGAAGCTTTTCTCTCTTTTATTTCTTTTATTAAATTCAAGAGTGTTGCAATCACAATCTTTGGTTGAGGAATTTGGAGAAAATCAAATGAAATTGGAAGATTTTTGAGCATATAAATTGAAATTGCCTTAAACAGGGCTACTTTTTTTTTTCCTAACAAAGAACTCTAAGGTTACCTATTCAAGGAATAGCTGTCTCCTATCTCTAGATCTGCAAAGGCTAGCATGGCAGCCATTAGACACACTTGGCTACTGAGCATCTAAAATGAGGCTGACTGTCAAAATTGAGGTGTGCCATAAGTGTAAAGTTTGTAACAGATTTCAAAGACTTAATAAAAATTGCATGTCTCATTAATACTTTTTATATTGACTACATGTTGAAATATTTTGAATCTGTTGTGTTAAATTATTTCATTAAAATTAATTTCATGTAAAAACCCATATTTAGTGTGGCTACTATGAATATACTTACCTATGTGGCTTGTCAAGATTTATACTACAGGGCCGGGGATTTAACTCAGCGGTTCTGCTGCCTGCCTTGCAAGTGCAAGGACCCGAGTTCAATTCCTGGTACAAAAAAAAAAAAAAAAAAAAAAA